GGAGGGAGACGCGGGGCTTGCTGATGGATTCGCCATATTGGGAGCAAAGGGGCACCATCGAGGCTGCCTCCCTAAGCTTTATCACTTAGGAAGGGGACAAAAATCAAGTTTGAATGCTTTGAATGAGTCTTCCGAGTGGCGATGGCAGGTGTGCTGATGGAGGCGACCGGGCTTTGCACAAAGGCAGGGGAGCATCTGTTACCTCTGTCCCCCTGCCAGTTCCGTGCTTTGAAAGGTTAGAGTCGTTTTTAGTTTAGCCAGAAATGGATGCTGCCTTTTCTTTCTGAAAGGAATTCTCAGTAAGGAATTTGGAAAACTGGTCATCAGTGTCAAGTGATGTTTTGTACAAAAACAACTGCATCAGCCAAGACTCCTTTTGATCACGAGTGACAGAAACCCAAGTCTAACTGGCTAGTGCAGAAGAGCACTCCTTTGGATCCCACAGTCAGACCGCAGAAAGAGAACTGGACTCTCAGATGCGTTCTGACCTCTCCATCTCTTGACCCGGCTTCTCATTAAATGTAGCCTTCCTTCTCTTGGCGCAGGGAGAAAAAGTTAAAGGAAGATTAAGAGGAAATAAATGAAAAGACTAAGGACACAGTGGAATTTTAAAGGGAAAGAATATACTTGTTAACAAGAGTGGTCAAAGGAATGAAATGGCTAAGACAGAACAGGAAAAAAAATTGAAGATAATAATCAGTAAATATTCAGTTAATAAAATAATAACCACTTAAACAAAATAAAAATATTTTAAATGACTTTAAACATTATAAAACTAATAGATAAAATGGAAACCGGTTAAGCCAAGGTCAGCAGGACAGAGTCCAAGGGCCAGAGGAACCAGAATGGGAGAGTGGGGGGGGGGGGGGGTCTTATGAGCCTTTTCTAAGCCTGGGGTTCTCTTCAAGGCACCCTACAAGCTGAGGTCTCTGCCCAGCTGGGCCTTCAGACAGCCTCAGGAAGTGCCTCTTTCTCAATTACCTGCCTGCCATTCCTGGAATTGGAAGACGTGCCCCATTCAGCATCAGTCAGCCAGGCCCTCCAACCAGTGCTCTTATGAGCACATTTGCCATCTCCACTTGGATGACTCATTCAAAGCCTAAACTTGATTTTTTTTTTTTTTCCCTTCCCAAACCTGCCCCTCCCCTAGCCTTTCCCATCCCACTAAAAGGTCCTTTCAGCCATTCACCTGGGTTCCCTCTAAGCTTAGGAGGGAGCCTTGATTGTGCCCTTTTGCTCCCAATGTATCTAATCCATCCCTCTTTGCACATCTGGAAAATTATACATATATGTGTGTGTGAGTGTGTGTAATATTTTATATTTTATATAATACATAGCATATAAATTATTATATGCACAGTTATATATAAATTTATATTATATATAGTAGATATCCATCCCTCAGACAGCAATCCCACATTTAGAATCTATCTCAAAGATATACAGGCAAAATATTTAAAAAGATATGAACTTACCTCTCCATTACCACACTATTTACAAAACCAGAAGACTGAAACAATCCAAACGTTCACCAATAGAGGACTGGTTGAATAAATGGTGGTACATCCATGTGAATAGAGTACTATGCACTGTGATAAGGAAGGTGGAAGAGGAAATATATGGACATCCAAAAAGAATTCACAAAGCTACTCAACTTTATTAATGCAGTTCACTGTATGTCAAATATAATGAAAAAATGGTCTAAAATAAAAACAAATTCATCTCCTTTGGGAATGATTGGGATATTAACTCATTATTCTAAAGGTTAATAGAAAAAGGAAAAGAGTCAAGCAATATTATCTAGTCTCTTTTTTTTTATATGAATTATGCTTTAGGAAAACCAAATAGTCGATGGTTCAGTCATAAATTCAGAAGGAATAATAGAATTAGAAAACCACTACTGTGTAATCATGAATAAAACAATAAATCTGGACAAAGAGCCCCAATGGCTGCTAAAACTATTAGGTTAGAAGCTAATGTGGAACTTTGTAAGGATGGATTTGTCTGATCACATCTGAAATCACCAATAAAATTAACATCACTGAATGTGGAACAACTAGAACCTCCTAGAACATTATTTTTGCAAAAAAGAAAAGGACCTGAGTATTATCAAGCTTAGGAATCTTAAGTGTGTGTGTGTGTGTGTGTGTGTGTGTGTGTGTGTGTGTAGGGAGGTTTGAAGAACTCATTAAAGAATGCCTTAAGGATGCAATTAGCCAAATACTGTGGGAAATTCTATAGGTAAACAAATAAATACCACAAAAGGGAGTAGAAAGAGAAGCTGTTGTATAAATTAAAAGAGACTTAAAAAATAGATTGATCAGCCCAGCCAGCTCCATTCCTGGCTCCGCGCATGCTGGGTTTTGGGTTTGATCCCAGTAGAGGGAGTGCAGGAGGGAGACGATTGATTTTTCTCTCTCATTGATGTTTCTATTTCTCTCCCTCTCTTAAAAAAAAAAATCAATAAAAACATTTTTAAAACAAAAATGGATTGATCAAATGCAATGTGTGGACCTTGTTTTGGATCTTGATTCAAACAAACGACTGTAAAAACACCTTTCAGAGAGGAGTGGAAATTTGAGCAGACTAGGTATTAGCTGATGTAGAGGTATTATTATTCATCTTGTTAGGTGTCATGATGACACTGTGGTCATGCTTTTTTTTTTTTAAGTGGTTACCTGTAGGGCATACATACTGGAGTATTTAGAAGTTAAATTAAACCGTATCCGAGATCTCCTTTAAAATATTCCAGTGGCAGGGGGAGGGAAGGAGACGGGTGAACAACATTTGCAATTCTTAAAGGTCAAGATGGATGGTTACATGGGGAGGTGGGGTTGAATATATTATTTTCTCTACTTTTGGGTATGTTGGAAATTTTCCACAATAAAGAACCGGGGATTTGTTATGTTGAATTTTAAACGGGCTGTGTTCATACAGATCACAGCCCCGAGGCTCTGTTCTGACCTACTGGGAGTTCAACAGTATCCCCCGCCCTTATCCACACTCAGGCCACATGCTCAGCGTCTGCAGGGCAAAACAGAATGAGAGAAATGAGTCAGGGGTTAAGAAAAGCACAAAGCAAGCCATGGTGGAGAAGGAGGGAAGCAGTGGCTCCTGACACCCACCTCTGTGCTGGGGGTTCACATGCCCAGCCGAAGGGGAAAGCTGGTGCTGCCATATGGGAATAAGGGCCCCGGAGAGCCAGGTCTGGGTTTTCATTAGAAAGTTGAAATATGGGCATTTCAGTCAAATCTCCCAGCTTGCAGGCAAATGAAAAAAAAAAAAAAATCTAAACACACATTGCCAGTCAGTGCTAGAAAGCCAAACAAAACCTGTCTGGCGGCTAGATCTGTTCCACAGCCTGCTGCTTTGTGACCCCCCGACCCCAGGCCATGTCATGCGTGATACAGTGATGCATTCATGACTGGCTGGCATTCTTAGCCGCTGGGTCACAAGGCCAGGACAACGGAGGCCGCACACGTCTGAAATCCCCAGACCCTTGGCACGCAAACAGCTGTCCAGCCAGGCGTGTTCCCCGCCCTGAACTGTGAATGGAACACAGGCTTACCATTGTCTCTGCCCAATTGCATCTTGTCATTTGTCAGACACATTTGTCTCTCTGGATTGGCTCTCCGTCCCTCCAAATTCTACCGAATCTGCTCTCCCTCTGGCTTCGTGTCGCATAGTTATAGTAAGCCATCTACAAAGCTGTCTGCCTGGGTTATATCAAGCTTTTCTCCTGCTTGACATCAGCTATAACTTCATTCTATGTTCAAAGTTCGTTTATTTCATATTTACCCATTTTCCTCATGGAAGCACCATGCACTGTAGACACACCAGTCTTGTGGTAATAATAATGTCACCTCCTTGCTCTTGTATAGGACATGATGATTTTTAAAGCATTTTCCCATAATCGTGACTTGATCTTTATTACCCATTGCAACTTTTTTTAAAAAAATCCTATCACTGGCACATTGAGATGTTAGACTACAAATTTGCCCGTGGTCTGTCTGTCACCCACCAATAATTTCCTAGCTGGAGATTTCTAGATTAAACAGGGCACCAACACTGGTTTAGCTCAATGGATAGAGCCTGTGGACTGAAAGGTCCCAGGTTTGATTCTGGCCAAAGGCATGTACCTTGGTTATGGGCATGTCCTCTGTAGGGGGTATGCAAGAGGCAGCTGATTGATGTTTCTAACTCTCTATTCCTCTCTCTTCCTCTCTGTGAAAAATCAATAAAATATATATATATTTTTAAAAAAATATATTTTTTAAATAAATAAATAGAGACAGGGCAACTAATTAATTTGTCTTCCTGCCTTCCCCCCTCACGAGAAAAACGGGTCCCCAAACCACCACCATTCCAGCAATAACCAATAGGGACAGAAACTCTGTTGAAGAGGAAAAAAGGTTCTAGCCGTGAGCGTTGACAGAACATGGGATGGGCTACCTCGTGAAGAAATGACATTTGGCTGCCAGCAGCTTTCCAATAGGTTTTGCAAAAGGGAGTTCAATGTGAATAGAAGTGGGGCGGAATGGTCTTTCAGTCATTTATTCCTGTCCAGGTGGGGAACCTGCTCTGGGCTCGGCTCTCAAAAGTACCTGCCCAGTTCTTGCAGTAAGTAACCTCTGAAGGTCAGCAACAGGTCCTTGGCAAGCCTGATAGTTTTTTATGCTTCCTACGTTTTAAAAATTAGTTCTCTTTTTAAAAGCAGTTTTCAGCAAATTTTCTCTTTAACATGCCAACCTTTTCCCCATTGTTCAAAAAGGGAGAGAATCCACTGCTTGGAATATTATTCAGCCATAAAAAGAAATAAAGTGCTGATAGATGGTAGGCATGGAGGACTCATGAAAACATTAGGCAAACTGGAAGAAGCCAGTCACAGAAGACCACAAATTATATTATTCCATTCGCTGAGCGTCCACCACAGGGAAATTTAGAGAGACTGAAGCTAGGTTGGTGATTACTTCAGGCTGGGATGGGGGGCTAAAGGATACAGAGTAATGAAAATGTCCTAAAATTGTGGTGCTGGTACAAACAAGATGTCCAAGTTGAAAGCAAGATAATGCTCAATAAAGCTCTTCAGCCAGAACCGGTTTGGTTCAGTGGATGAGTGTCAGCCTGTGGACTGAAAGGTCCTGGGTTCGATTCTGGTCAAGGACATGTAGAGGGTGTGCAAGAGGCAGCTGGTCGATGTTTTTCTCTCATCGATGTTTCTAGCTCTCTGCTCCTCTCCCTTCCTCTCTGTAAAAAATAAATAAAATATATATTTTTAAAAAATAAATAAAGCTTTTCAGTGCTCTTTTTGGTCATTTGCAGAATCACCTGGGAGAAAAAAATAGTGCAATAAAAGGTGCTTTGATGACTCCCTAAGTAAAATCCATTTTTGGACTAAAAATTTTTTTTAAATATCTATTTAATAACCAGACTAAGCACAGGAACTCCTACTTGCCTTAATGGATGATGCTAACAATATGGATCCAGACATATTGTGAGCAATATGGGTGAATTATAGACTGGCTGAATTTAACAACAGTGTGTTGTTGGATCTTGATTTACATCTTTATCAGGATGATGTCCGAGAAAAATAACTTACAAAATGTTTAATAGTTAATAATTTAATTAATTACACTTGATATTACATCACAGTAGTTACTAAATGGCCTTTCAGAAATCAGAATATTCCTTTGAACAATTTCTAAAACATGTAGTTAAGAGATATCTGCTGAATTGATTTTTAAAAATATATTTTATTGATTTTTTACAGAGAGGAAGAGAGAGGGACAGAGAGTTAGAAACATTGATGAGAGAGAATCATCGATCAGCTGCCTCTTGCACACACCTCCACCGGGGATGTGCCTGTAACCAAGGTACATGCCCCTGGCTGGAATCGAACCCGGGACCTTTCAGTCCACAGGCCGACGCTCTATCCCCTGAGCCAAACCGGTTTCGGCTAAATTGATTTTTTAACAAACAGAAAAAAAAAGAATATGCAAGAAATGAATTAAAGTATATAAAATTGTAGTCATGGTTGCACATATCTGTGAATATAGTAAAATCCATTTAATTGTACACTTTAAATGGGTGAATTGTGTGGTGTGTGGATTATATACCAACAAAGCTTTTTTTATAATTAAGCAAAAAAAAATTTTTTTTTCTTTCTTTCCTTCTCCCCTTTCCCTTTCCCTTTCCCTTTCCCTTTCCTTTTCCCTTTCCCTTTCCCTTTCCCTTTTCTTTCTTTTTTTTAATGGATAGACAATTGTTTCCAGGCCTGGGCGAGATTTTTAAAGGGCTGGCCTGAGCCTCCCCATTCTGAACCTGGGGCTGGGGTAGCAAGACGGGAAGACAAGAGCTCACCCAACCACCTACTTCCTCTGAGTTTTCTAGGTGCAGCTGCTCACACCACTTCAGATCCTATTTCCATCCCAAGATGTAACTTCCATCACGTTCATAAAGACAGTTGAAACCACTCTTGGGGAAGAACACGTCCAGGAGGCCTCTCACCCCAACCAAACTGGTCCCCTCCCTCACCCACCCACATCTCCTGGGAACATGGGACATCCCTCCGACCCCGGACACCCACCCCTCGGCAAAGCAAGCAAGCCCCTGTGCCTTCGGGGGCGCGCTGGGTGCCGGCTTCCACAGCCAGCTGGCCGCTGCTGGGGGCAGGTGGGGGGCCCTTTCCAGCTCCACCACGCACCCCCCAGGACCCTGCCCCTGGGTTTGCGGCCTGCTCAAAGGGCTCCAGCCCCTCTGATTGCACTGCCGTCGGGTTTGCAGCGGATCCACCTCTCCTGACTCACCCCGGGGAGAAGGGTCACGGAGTGGGGGAGAGAGAAGCTGGGCACCTTCCCAAACTCCGCCAACCCGCCTGCGGGGAGGGCAGGGGCGGCCGGCGGAGGAGAGCCAGGGGGATGGATGGCCAGTGCTTGCTATTTAAAGGGAACGGGGCGGGCGGCTCCACTTGCGTCCCCGCGCGGGGCCTCAGCCCCAACTCCGAGGAGTGTAGCCCGGCTCCCGCTGCGGCTCCGGCTCGGGCCCAGCCGCCCAGAGCGCACCGCGCGGGGCCCGGGACGAGCAGCAGCAGCGGACCCGGGCAGGTCCCGGCGCCGAGGGCTCGGCACGCCCTGCAGAGTGGGGCGCCCAGGGTTTCCTAACTCCATGCCTAGGGCGTGGCCCCCTCTCGGGCGCTGCACCCCGGGACCTCTGGGTGCCGGGAAGGGAAACGCCCAGGGGGAGAACTGGGAGGGAGCAGTGAGTAATCGGGGGGTGCGCGCGGGGGCGGGGAACTGGTAGCTCGGAAAGCTGGTTAGAGGCGCCAAGGCGATCGGCTTCCTGCCTGTGGCCGAGCGGTCCGCGCGCTCCCAGCCGACGCAGGAACCGGGAGGGCTAAAGAGAGATAAAAGGGGCGGGCCTCCGGCATCCAAAAGGGTCGTGCTCCAGGTGAGGCTCGAACTCACAACCTCGGCATCGCTCTGCAAGCACTGCTGTATAAGTACCGCGCGCTAACCGATTGCGCCACTGGAGCTCCGCTGAGCGGCCCTCGCGATGGCTCTATCAGGGCTCACCCGGCGGCGGCGGCCCGCCGCGCATGCGCACTCGCGGCCGGCGGCGCGGCGGGAAGGGACGGGGTCGGAGTCTCCCCGCGCCTTCTGGCCCGGCCGCCCCCCCAAAAGAGCAAACCGGGGGGCACCGGCGGGGGACTCTCCCTCTCTCGGGGCTGAAGGGGCGGTTTGCCAGGGCCAGCCGTGGCGGACGGGCGGCGGGGGCCCAGGAAAGAACGGAGCCCGCCTCCCCGGGCGGTGCGGGGGGAGAGGAGTCCGGCCGCGGGGCTCGGAAACCACCTCGGCGCCCGCCGTGGATCGCGGCCTCCCCGGGGCGGCCTCGCGTGGCCGAGGCCTGGACCGGACCGTCCGGGCGTCCTGCGGGCTGGCCGAGCGGTGGACCGGGCCCGGGAAGCCGTGGGAGCGGGAAGCCTTGGGCTGGGCGACCCCCGCGCTGGCCGGCGGGGCAGCCGCGGAGCTGGAAGACCCGGCCGGGCGAGGGGGCGTCGGAGCCCGGAACCCCGAGGCTCCCCGCCGCCTCTTTCCCCCTCCGGAGCGGGGTGCTGGGGGCGCCCCGGGCAGGAGGCGGGTCCCCAACATCGAACCCAGCGGCCGGCCTTCCGGGGGCGCGATGCTCGCCCGGGCCTTCGGGAGGATGCGGGCTAAGCCGCGCAGGTCTCAGTGCGGCCACAGCGAGTTTGTTTTAATGTTTAAAAACGAAGTTCCTAATGTTTAAAAATCAAGAGGTCTCATACAAATACCTGGATATCCTTTCTTTTTTAAACACCAGGAAATGTGAACTGCCCCCAAGGTTGAATTATACCTATCCAGTGTTTTGAGGGTTTTTGTTAGTTTGTTTTTTGTCTGTGTGGGACACTTATTAAATTCTTTTCAGTTATATTTTACTACAGCAGAATAAAGACAAACATAATCCAGGCTGGATTTATTGGATTTACTGTTACATTCATTATTATTTTTCTTGAGTCAAGTTTGTAGAAGCTTCATTGTACGGTCTTCGTTTCAGTAAACTCTTTATTTTATACTTTTAACTAATAGAAAGAGACTCCCAAAGTGATCTTATTATAATGGGGCAAGAGTTTGTCTAAATAATTACTTTCATTATTATTTTTCTAAATAGAAATTTAGGTGTCTGGGCAGCACCTAAGACCACGTCCTATCTCATGGGTCCCTGTTCCTCACCAGCACCATCCGGAAGCGACCTTTCTTTTCCCTCCGGAGAGAAAGATGTGCAGGTGCCTGGGGCCAAGGTCTAAGGCACAAGTGTCAAACACAAGGCCCGAGGGCCAAATGCGTCCCGCCAGGCCTTGCAATGTGGCCCGCACCGCGCTGTCATCACTGCACTCCGCTGCGTTTCCATCACAATGACAGTTTATGACTGTTCAGTAAACCATTCGGCCCGCGATTTAGGCTGGATTTTATATTTTGGCCCCTTCTCTGATTGAGTTCGACACCCCTAGCTTAAACTGTCACATGTACCGTTAAGAAGAAAAAGCTGCTGCCCAGCTGGTGTGGCTCAGCTGTTGATCGTCAATCTATGAACCAAGAGGAGATCACAGCTCGTCTGGGTCAGGGAGTCAGGGTTAGGGGTCAGGGCACATCCCTGGATTGTGGGTTCAATCCCCAGTGGGGGGATGAGCAGGAGTGCAGGAGGCAGCCAGTCAATGATTCTCATCACTGATGTTTCACTCTCCCTCCTCCCTTTCTCTCTGAAATAAATAAAAATATATTTTTAATTTTAAAAGGAAAAAACTGCCACTTTTACTATGATACCGTGCTTTCATATCACTTATGCCTTTTATTTTATACTTATTAAAAGACTCCACAGTATATATTTTTTAAGTAATATATTCCTTTTGAGAACTATTGTTTTCTATTCAGCTTTTCTGCCCCTTTGTTTCTTCCACTTACAAACCAGCCAACACTTTGAAGAGGAAAGAAAGCAGTTTGAGGTGTCACACTTACCTCACAGCATTTCTCTTCTCCCTGAAATCTTGGACTCTCACCTCCTGGACTGCCTTAGTACGTAGCTCTTCGTTGCTTTCAAACAGGTGTGTGTGCGTATGTGTGTGTGTGTGTGTGTGTGCGCGCGTGCTCTCTCGAGCACACCTGTACTTATTGTATTTCTAGCTACTGTCAGTGGGAGTAGTTTGATACTACCAAATGCATATAACCTTTCTCCTGTAGAGAGACTCATACACGTGAGCAAATATACCATATTTCATCAAACCTGAGATGCCTTAAACTGTCACATGTACCGTTAAGAAGAAAAAGCTGCTGCCCAGCTGGTGTCATAACTGAATTGTCAAGATCTTGTGTGACCATATAATTTATTCTCCAAATGAGGACATTTCTGAAAACAATAGTGAGAGGGGCATTATTAATAACACTGGATCACCGAGCATGCCTTGTGATGGCCTCAGACAAGCAGGCACATGTGACCACCCTAATGGTACCCCCCCTTGTGCTGCTGCAAATACATAAAATAAAACCAGGACAGATGCCC